AGAAGGAAAATATTTAATAGGAAGAGAACAGAAAAAAACGTTTGAAACAAATATTGTCCCTCTTTCCCTCTCGCTGCCCTGGACACATCTGAGTCCAAGTGCTGCCCCTGTCACGTTGCGGGACCCTGATGCTTCCAGCAGACTCGAGGAGGTTGTGTGGGACCCGGGGTGAGCCCGGGTGGTGGGGGGTGGTCCTGGTCCTGCCCCGGGCTGAGGAACTCGTCACCACAGAGGTGGCAAAGTCCCCGCTGGCTTCATTGCTGGGAGCATGGGGACGTTGTGGCTGTGGATGTGCCTGACCTCCAGCTCATCTCCTGTCTTCAGCATCTCCAGGAATGTCCCTCCAAGGCCAGGTTGCTTTTCCTGCTCCATTTGGATGCTTCTTTCAGTCCAGGTGGATACGAGGGTGCGTTTGCGGGCTGAAATAATTTAGAGGGGTGTTGATGGGCTGCCCACTGTGGGGCCAGCGCATCTGGCCCTGCGACACGAGGAGCTTTGGCTGCAACATGGAGCCGGTGGGCAGCCAGGTTGGCTGTAAAATAACCAAGGTTGGAGGATATGGTGGCATGCTCTCTGCAGGGATGGAGAGAGTAGGGCCCAGGCAGGCTCGGGAAGGCACTTTCCATCCTCAGAAGGCCTCGTGAGCAGTCTTCACAATGCTCCTCACGGGTCAGTAAGCAGCAGAGGTTTGCAGAGCACCATCCTGCAGCGCAGAGCAGGGTAACTAAAGTGGCTCTGGCTGAGCATCCCATCCAAACAACATCCGCCGAGCCCGCAATGACTCTGGTTTATGGATGCTATCACACTTCAAATTAGGAAAGTGGTTTTGTTTCCCCTTTAGGGAGCAGGAGGTGGTGAGCTCTGTGCCCAGAGCCATGCCCTGGCTGCCGTCTTGGACTCCATCTCACAGCAGTGCAGCGAGAGGAGCAAACCCTGAGGGTGGTTGGTGCTTCTGGCCTCTTTTTCCAGAGGGTCACCTGGTCTGACCTTCCCCGCGCTCGGGACAGCTGGGCACCAACTCTTCAATATTGCCGGAATGAGCTATTTTGTATTTTTCCATTTAAATCTCATTTGAAGGAAAGTCCATCTGGTTCCCTTTGTGCTGCCAGAGGAAAAAGGCTGCTCTCAGGTCAGCTTTCCGCAGGGCATCTCCTCATTGGAGACCCAGGCGAGGTCGCATGGCCAGGACCTCTGTCTCTTCTCCTTTCCATCGCAGCAATAAGGTGGGGTGGAGCAGGGCCCCTGTCATTGAGCGCTAATTGAGGAGGGAAAATAAGCAGGACCCTGAAATTGCAAACCAAAGACGGAGTGACATAAATGAGATCTAAACTGTGACCTTTTTCCATAAGCAGGAGTATTAACTAAGTGTGACAAATGGATGGGGAAAAAAAAATAATCCTGCCTTTGTCAGTTCTCATGCCCAGGGCTGACACAGAGCTGGAGCCTTTGGTCTGCTCCCGGGGGAGCGCAGCTGGCGGTGCCGGACGTCCCTCCCAGCTCTGCCATGTCGGTCCAGCGGTTATTTTGGAGGCTGGACCCTTTCCATCATCAGTTCAGAGAGCAGTTTCTCTTCTTGCCTTCAGGGTCAAGCAAAAAAAATGTGGCAAAGCACTCGGGGAGTGTCCCAGTGGGGCTTGGCACCGCTGCCTTTCCCCTTGCCTTGCTCAGCCCTGCGCCAACATCTGGCAACCTCTGGAAGTTCAGGCCCAAGTTGTTTGCTGTTGCAGCGGCCCATGGGGTTGTGATCGGTCTCATTCATCGCTGGACACGCTCCTGTCGCCGCTGCCAGGATTTTTTCCCATTAATTTGCCCCGAGGTTCTTGCTGGGTCATGGCTGTGGCTGGTCCCTGAGTTACGGTTCACACCAGGACATGGGCAGGGACCACTCAGTCTTGGACTGGGGACCTATCGATGCTGGCTCCACACCATGACACTGGGGTCCGGCTCATCTGTCTCCATTTCAGGGATTTCCCACTTTTTTTTTTTTTTTTTTTTTTTAACAGCTCTGCTCGCTCTCTCCATTTCTCTACCTGGCGTTGTTTCTGGCTGTTCTTCCCCCAGAAGCTGGGAGATGCTTTGTCCCTGCTGGGTTGCTGCTGTGGATGGGTGAAACTGAGTTTTTCCTTCTTCCCTGATGATTTTCCAAATTTTCCCATGTATTTTTGTAGAAAGATGCTCTTGGGGAGACAGGATTTCACTGAGGATTTCAAATGAATGGCCTGTGACACCCTCTCCATGATAATGCATCGTTTTTCTCATTCATATTTCAATAGCTAAAGGTCAAATGGAAGCCCAGCTGGTTGGGAAGTCTGATGTTAATTACACTAATGAGCAAAAGTCTCTGTCTTACTGCTCGGTCCTGCACTCTCCCAGACACTGAAGTGGGGTGATGCTGGCTGGCCAGACCCTGGGCACCACCGAGTGTCCTGCAGCCTGGGGGTGCTGAGAGACTCCTGGGGTCCAGGTCTCACGTGGGTTTGGGTGGGCTGCTGGTCCCTCGTGGTCTGGGATGAGCCACAGATTTGCTGCCGCATGTGTCTGCGGGCTCCAGCTGGGAGAGTTGGGGTGTGTGTCCCAAGGGATGCTCCTGCCCATGAAGAGCTTGACTCCAGCATCCTGGTCTGGTCCCCGAGAGGTAGAAGTGTGTCTGCTGACTTCTGCTGACCCCCAAGTCCTGTCTGGCTTTTGGCTTTGGTGCTGAATTTCTTCCTCAGGAGGCTCCCATGTGCAGAACTTGCACCAGAGCCTCCTTGATGCGGAGCCAGGTCCTGTGCAGTACCTGGGGAGAATAGACTCTTCCCTCTGCTCCTCCATCAAATTGCTCAGGAAAAGAGTTAAACCACAGGTTTTAAGTATATGTGCCTTAAAATACAAGGCACAAGGGCTAGACATGGGCAAGTGCTCTGGGGCTGTGAACACAGAGAGGGCCAGGGAGTTGTGCCACCGCTGGCGGTGTGCGGGAATGGAGCTTTTAGGCCGCGTCACTCACTTGCTGGTGGGTCCCATTTCACTGGGATTAAAATGCGTTTGCAGACAAAAAACCTGAAGTACCCTGAAACAGAGGTTGCTAAGTGACGCAGGAGCTGCCAAAACCAAATGCCAAGACCATCAGCTGAGACCCTCATCGTTCAGAGGGCTGGGAACAGCGGGCTCACATACCGTGTGTGGGTGTTTGATAAGCCAGGCCCAAGCGGTCTCTAATGCAAGCTTAAACACCGCGTTCACACTGCGCAGGCAGGTCCAGAGGCAAAGTCCCTCTGTGCTTTTCCTGCTTTCCCTGAAGGCAGCAAGGGGTTGGTAAGCGCAGGGAGTTGAGCAGATTTTGTTTTACTGCCATTTGGTTTCAGCAGGCTTGCAATAAATATATGGGCATGTCTGGCTTGCTGGAATTTGTTCTAAATTTTGTTTTACCCAGCAGCCAGGGCCTGGCCTTCAGGCAAGCTGATCTGCTCTGCTGCAGTCGTACTTAACTCTTGGATGCCAACGCCTCCGAGCATCGTCTGCCACCGTCATCCCCCTCCCCTGCCAAAACCCGCGGAGGTGCTGGAGCATGCCAGGTCCCGCTCACGTCGCTGCAGCGCGAAACAAATCCGCTGCCCTCCCAATTATCACATTACTTGGGCATTAGAGGAGCCTCACCTGCTCTGCAGCTGCCAGCAGCACGTAACTGAAACAGATACTTGTGCATCGACCCCGCGGAGGCTGTAACCCCTCGAAGCACGTGCGCTGGTCTGACTCTCTAGACAAAATCCCTGCCGAGTTGCACCGCGTCGTATTGCTGGTGGTGCTGCAAACTTCCCCGCGCAGGCGCTGAGGGCAGGCTGAGGTGTTTATGGACCGTTTCACCGTAGCAGGGCTTGGGCTGGGTTGCTCTCACCTTTAGTTTAAGTGTTGGGATTTGCCCCCACCCGTGGCTGCAGGGTCCCCGGTGAGGAGCTGCCGTCGTGCTGGGATCTGTGCTGGGCTCTCCCAGTCCTGCTGCCAGCCCCGCAGCACTCCCTGTCCCAGTTGTCCCAGCTCTGCCACAGCCTTGGGCCAGCCTGGAGAGGTTGGCGCATCCCCTGGCTCCACCACCTTGCTGCGATTGCTGGAGAGAATTGGGGGGATTGGGGAGATTTTTTTAGAGCCTCTCCTGCTTTGCTAGCTGCTCTCTGTTGGCGCGCATCTCTGCCGGGGCACGCGTGGAATTGTCTGTGTGCGCGTCCCCACCGCCGACAGCAAAACGGGAGCGTGGGGGAGGATGGGATGAAGGGATGAGTGGGTCACTGATGATACCGTGACCTGGCAGCTGGAAATGTGGGTGCTTCCTCACCCCACCCCCCTCAGGGAGAAGTCCAGGTCCCTCAGGCAGAGACAAGAGGAAGGTCTGGAGCAGGGACTGAGCTGGGATCATCAGTCACCGGTTGAAGTCCTTGCACCCCACAGGGGCTGCGTGTGACCCCCAGCTCGGGGGTGCCGGGGAAGTGGACCCCCCCCTGCGCAGTGCCTGCATGGCTGACCCTGAGCTGGTGGCTTTTAGGGGAATCCCTCTGTCTTTTGTTTTGGGGTAGTGATGCTTTCCTGGAGGAATTTCAGCTTTTCTGGGGTGCTGCGTGCTGTCCGTTCTCCAGGGACCCCAAAAGAGAAGGTTTTGCCCTCCCATAAGCAGCGCCTGGCCAGGGCTCACAGGAGCACTCCGGGAGGCTGCAGGGGACACCCGCCCTCCTGGGGTTGCCTCTTGGCTCCCCGTTGTCACCGGGAATGTCCTCCCTGAGCCCTGTGCCACCAGCTCCGGCTGCAGAGCTGGCTCCTGGTTTCTCCGCAGTTTCTCCAACAGATCCCTGCGAGGGAAAGCTCCTTTGGCTAAGGCTCCCCAAGCTTCTCTCAGCAGAAATTACCCCCCCAGCCGCTGCTGCTGCCCTTGGACAGCCCTGGGCAGCTCAGCCGGGCAGGAGCAGGGGGCAGAGATGAGTCGGGGCCTGAGCGGGGTCTCGGGCAGAGGTCAGAGCAGCTGCCGAGCTGTAACAGCAACATCTCTGCGCTGGACCTGAGCCTGGGACCATCTGTGGTCTGTTAATGAGGGGGAGCTGGATTTCCCCTGAAATAGGAACTATTTAAATTCCCTGTTGATCCAAAGAGCTCAGAAATCTCAACGTGCTTTAGCAAAACCGCAGCAAACCATTTGCTTGCAGGTTGGTGTCCTGCATCTCCTGAGCCAGCCGTCGGGGCTGGGAGTGTGTCTGTCCACCGAGCAAAGTGCCCAGGGGAAGGACACGGGACAGGGCTCTGGCCAGTGGCGCTTCTTCCAAGTTTGGGTCAGATCTCCCCAAATGAGAAGACAGCGTGGGTGCCGTCTCCTCCTGAAACCCCTGCACGTGACTGCTGGGGAGAGTTGTTCCACCCCAGAGCCGGCCTTGGTGGTGCTGGGCATGGATGCTCCCCTGTTTGTGAGAGGATCCTTCACGGTACAAAGCACTGTATAATTTTACATATATATATATATATATATATATAACTAGGCAAGCTGCAATGGTCAGGTCACACACTGGGCTGGAGCAACACTAAGGGCGCTTCCCCTCTCTGGGAGGTACCTGTGTGCCATGCCCTTCAGCTTCGGGGGTATTTATTTGGAATTTCTCTGCTGCCCACTGTGGAAAGGTGATTTAGTCGTCTCCTTGTGCTGTTTTGTCCAGAGGAGCCGAAGCTGGCTGTGCCGGACACTTTGCCATTTAAACATCCCTGGTCTCAGATGCCACAACAGACCCAGATGTCAGCGCAGCCCCAGACCTGCAGAACGGTGAGCGCTCCCCAGGCTCCAGTGGGGTGAGGGGGGGGGGTCAGAGTTATCACCTCATGGGGTTTATGCACTGGAATGCTTGAAATCCAGCTCATTTTTAGCTCATGGCCATCCCTGCTTGGTGGCATTACCTCCCTCCTCATCCCCACCCTCCTTTTACAGCGTGGAACACTCGGTACCATCGAGCCTGGGGGTTTACCCCACGTAACAGCTGAGAAATCTCCCGCCTGTTGCCACGACCCCAAAATGAGCAAGGAGTAACTCAAGTAGGGGGACGTGACGCAAAGCTCGGGGGCATTAAGCTCTGGTACTGACGCCGAGGTTGCTGGCAGACAGCAGCAGGGACCCCGGCCTTGGCCACACTGGGATGTGTGTGTCAGCATCAGTTTGAAGAGGTTTGGGGTTTGGAGGGGTTTCGTGGGATTTGGGAGTCCACCAGCTCTGTCCTGGGAGAGGGGCTCTGCTGTCGAGAGGCCAGACGGGGAATTAAGCATCCTCTTCCCCTCCCGCCACAGAGGCTCCTGACTTTTGGGAACCTTTTTTTGGGGCTGCATATGGGAAAGGAGATGCTCTCCTGGTCCCACAGCCACAGCTGATGCCCCGAAGCTGTAGATCTGGGGACTGACGCCAGCGTGTCTTGCTCCAAATGTCACCACTCGCTGCAGTGAAGTCTTCAGCCTGGAGGAGATGTGGGGGTGGTGCAGCTGGACCCCCCCCAGGCTCCGAAATGTGAGCAGCGAGGCTGGGAGGGATCTGCTCTCCGCAGGGCTCAGGCAGGGCTGGGATGAGTCCCTGGTCCCCTTCTCCTCCCGGGGGCTTTGGTCTCGCTCTCGCCTGCCAGGACGAGGTACGGTTTGCAACATCAAGCACTATTTCACCCTGTAATGGCATTTTGCTTTCTTTGCTCTCTGCTCCCCTGATCATAATTGCGATGGCAATAAAATTTCCAATGCAGCAGCTGTAGACAGGTCTTAAAAAATGCATTCAGCCCAGGATTGGAGGGAAGGCTGTGGTTTCACAATCCCCTTGCCTGGGATTCCTGCTCTGAGCAGGGTTTCCAGCGGATTGGGGGCTCCATATCTGCACCTCTCACCCCTCTGCACTCGCGGAGACTTGCTTGCAGAGCTACGAGCTTGTTTTCCTGCGGAGAGCTGAGCCGTCCTGCTGGGACCAGGTTGTTTTCCACCCATGGCTGCCTCTCCCACCCCATCCTTGGAGCAGTCTGTCGGTCTGGCCTGTCAGTCTGTTCATCCTGCCCACGAGACAAGCGGTTCAGTGGAATTAAAGCCTCCCAAACAATGCGTCGCCCTCCCGAGGTGCGGTGCTGGTGGGCTTGGCTGCAGGCGGCCCCAGGGCTGGGGGTTTCCTCTCTGGAGGGAAGCTGGGCTTGCTGGCACGCTGGGCACCCCTGCACCCCCTGCCAGGGCCGAAGGAACCCCATGGGGCTGATCCCTTAGGAACGAGATCCTTTCTGAGGGTCAAGCCTGGAAAGAGCTGTTGTTTTATCCAGGATACTCAGGGAGGTGGCCGGGACTGCCTTGACTTCATTTTGTACAGCACCTGGCACCGCGGTGCTGCTGGCAACTGGGCTCATAGGTGCCACCACGGTCCAGGTAAGGGATTAAGAGTAGGCTTTGCCATCAAAGTTCCAGCCCTGGCAACTAGCGGCGTTGATCACAGTGTGATTTATGTGCCAGCCCTGCAAGGGACTCAGGCCAGCATCACCGAGATGCTGAGCTTAACGAATGACCTAACCTAACCAGGGCTGGCTCAATGGACCAGGTGGCCAAACGAGGTCATTTGCTGGGGCAAAGCCTGTGGGGAAGCAGCTGGCACTCAGGGTGCTGTGAAGCCAGCGGCGTGGGGAGGCCTCTGCTGGGTGGACCCGGGCTGGGGCCAGCGGAGAGGGCTGCACGTGTGCCAGCCCGAGCACTCCACATGCCCCCGGGCAGCGTCATCAATCAGCTTTCTGAAAGGTGGCTAATTACAGCGTATGCTTTTCTGTTATGATTATTAATCATCCTGCTCCTTCATTTATTAGCAAGCCGCCTGGGTTTGAGGAGCAAAGGCGCTTCATGTGGCGAGGTGGCACATTCTCCCTGCTGCTTGGGAGCCGCTTTGGGTGATGTGTCTTGGGGGACGTGGGTGTTCCCAGAGTGGGGAGACAGCGTGGCGGGTCCCCACCACCGGCCCCAGCGCAGCCCGCGCTCTGCCTGGGGACGTCCTGCTTGGTGGGGCTCCAGCGAGCTCCCTCTGTCCCCTTCGCGTGGCAACACTGGCTTTGGTGCTCTCCTCCACCGAGGTTTTGCTCCCAGGGTGTTGCTCCCAGGCTGTGTTTCAGCAGCCCTGGTGCAGAAGGTAAGCGATGAGCTCATAAAGCGGCCACACGCCCCGGGAGGCAGGAGGGGGAAGCAGCTGCAGAAGGACCAAATTCCCCTCTCTCATTTAATGATCTTTATTTGTGTCTCCGTGGGGGCAGCAGCCCTTGCCAAGAGCCGAGCCCTGTTTTCTGAGATGCTCTGCTCGTAGCCAGGATGTGTGTGTGCCTGACTGTCACGTCTGTGCTGGCTGAGGCTCTTATGGGCTTCTGTTTTATAAATCTCTCAGCAGCATCGCGGCGTGGGCTTTAAAACCGACAGATGCCAGGAGGATGTTTCCCAGGGGCTCAGGTTCCCCATCCCTGCGCCCAGTGCTGGGCTGGGAAGAAACCTGAGTACGGGCAAACCTTGGGCCCTAGGCTGGTTCAGATGCGGAGCTTTAGTTCAGTTGAGGAGCTTTGCCAAGCCCAGACCCCCTGGGCTGAATCCTGCCCTTTGATGGGAGAAGGGGAAGGTGGTTTTGCAGGGGGAGTCTCCTAGACCCGGGATGCCTCTGAGCTCATTGCTGGGTCCTCTCCCAGCTGAGTGGGTGCTCAGGGACAAGGACACCATGGGGTGTCCTGGTGACCGACCATGATGGCAAAACGTCAGAGGGAAGTCCCGGGGATGTGTGCTGTCAGCCTGCATTTGCCTTCCAGACCCTCATCATCTGGCCCGTGACATTAACAGGCTTCTGCAAATTAAAAGCTCTCACCGAGCAGCAGAAACTTGCTGGAAATTGCCAAAAAAACATCCTCTGGTGCCTGTCCAGGGACCACAGCCACTGCCCAAAGCCAAGTTCAACTCAAGTGTTTCTGATGGGCACTAGTGGAACGGCTCACTGAAAACAAGGCGTTTTGGAGCGCAGTTAAATTCAAGCTCAGCCTTAGTTCCCGTGTGGTCCTGCCTGAAGCTGTTGAGATCTGGGTCAAGTTTGCTCTCAGCCAACATTTCCCAGTAGCAGTCAAGATTCAGATCTGGCTGGTGGGTTCGGTCCAACTGCTTGGGTCGAAATGAGAGTATAGCACCCACTCGTCCTGCTCCTCCTTCCCTTGTTTTAGAGGAGTTATTCACCTTGGTAGATAAATAAAGATGCTCGTGAAATATTAAATACCTCCCCAAAGCCCCTGCTGCTGCTGAGTGGCTTCTGCACCTCGTTCCCTAGTACACGCAGTGACCTTTTAGAAATGTTGTACGTTGTGATCATATCTAAATGTCTTCTCTCCTGGGAGCATCTTGTGGAGATAGAGATTCAGACATGATGTCTATCAAGAAGAAAAGCAGATTGCGGCCAATCTGTGGCTGCCTGCGCAGTATTGCCTGGGCCACGTGCTCAAGAATCATAAGGTTGTCTCTAAAAATAAGCAGTGGCTTCTTTCAAATTGTCTCCTTGGCATCTTAGCTCATTAGGGAATCCTCGTTTCTGGGTTTTCACAGCAATTGCGAGGGCTGGGAGTTTCCACGTGGGAGGAAAGTGGAGAGTCCTGTGGTCACGGCTGTTGAGGACTCGGCTAGGACTCGGGATGGGATCACAGGGTGGGAAGATGGCTCCATGAAGACACCAGTCATGGCTTTTTCGGGATAGAAAGGGTAAATCCTCCCTCTGCTGAAAGCTCACGCACTCTTGCTGCTCCAGCATCGTCTCGGCTGGCCCCGAGGCCTGGGGCTGTTGAGCAGGAGGAGACGCACGAGATGCAGCAGCTGCCACTCGCCAAGATCACTCCCTTCTGTATGAGGTTTTCATGGTTTTGAAGCAGTCCCTGTAAGTCATGCTTCAGGACGCTTTCTGCAGTGACCTCGCAGGAGCTTGTCTCCTCGCGCAGACATCTCTCCTTTCACGCTTTCTCTCCTCATCCCTTCAAGTCATCAGGAAGAATCTGCTTCTGTTTGAGCAGCCTCAAGAGGGACACGGGGGCGACTATTGGGAGCACCGTGGCTGCGGGTCCCAGCCCTGCTACTGGGCTCTTGCCATGGCTGTTGGGCGCAGTCGCTTGGCTGCTCAGCGCCCCGGGCAGCCCCGGCCTTGGGGCATTTGCCAGGTCCTACAGGCACGAGCCACCGCGGTGGTGGGGATCCACCGTAGGGAGCCTGTCGGGTGCCCTCCTGCCGCCAGGGTGGCCCCACTGCCCACCCAGCCTCTCGCTTCTCCCCTCTGCTCCTCCAGCTCAGCCCTCCTGCCTGCCCCAGCCCGGCTTTGCTGGGGAATAAACTGACCCAGAAAAACACGCTCTGGGTGTGCCGTGAGTGGCAGAGACGGGAGAATTTGTTTCCCAGTCAGACTCTGATGGGATTAAGAATAAGTCTCTGATAGATAATTTTCCATTAGGTCTGGTGATTGATTTTCTTTCTTCTTACCCCCAGCTCTCGTCTCCCCTCCCAGTTTCTGCTGGATTATTCTCATGCTTGGTTTGCTAACTGGCTGATCACTCGAGCCTTGCTGGAGTGAGGCACAGGGACATCACTGGCCTCTTCTGACCCTCTGAGTTTTCTGCCTCTTTGTTTATGCCTCAGCTCTGATTGAATCTCCTCCACCCCCCAGCAGAAAATGGGCTGTTTCTGCTGCCCTAAGCAGAGGGAGGAATCTGCTGGTGGCACCTCTGGAGCCAGGGAAGGTCCTAGGGATGCCCCTTCAGCTCCTCCCCA